GAGAAAAGAAAAAACATCACCAACAGATCATAATACCAAATTACAATTCAATCCAAAGAGCCAGCCAAAATTGTCCAGTGATTTCTGAGTTGAATATTTAATGACATTGACAAAATGTTTCATCTCAAATTCCATATAATAACACATCAAAACTTGCAAAATGTAGCTAAAGTGTTTCTTTGAGAGAGAGGAGGTACAGATTAACAAACTAAGCAATCAGTTCAAACTTAAGACTAAATAATAAACCTAAAGAAAGGAGGGGGAAAGAATTTTAAAATCTATGTGAAAGTTCAGGAGGCTGAGGCAGGAGGATCATGAGTTCAAAGCCAGCCTCAGCAAAAGCTAAGCACTAAGCACCTCAGTGAGACCCTTTCTCTAAATAAAATACAAAATAGAGCTGGGGATGTGCCTCAGTTGTCATGTGGCCCTGAGTTCAATCCCTGGTACCAAAACAAAAAACAAAAATAAACAAAACCAATGTGAAAATAAATGAATGAAAATAAACAAAACAAAAAGATGAGCATTGAGGGGCTGGGGTTGTGGCTCAGAGGTAGAATGCCTGCTTAGCATGTGTAAGGTGCTGGGTTCAATCCTCAGCACCACATAAAAATAAATAAAGGTATTTAAAAAAAAAGATGAGCATTGAAAACTAGTCACTTCCAATCTCTTGCCAGATAAATCAAGGGAAAAAATAAGTATTTAGAAATAAATATGGGAGCAAAACTACAGATAAAATAGTTTTAGAAGGACAAAATGTAGTATATGCATGCATGGGAATAATATAAATCTTTAAAAGAATTATATATGTATGAACAAGTGCATATAGAAAAATACAATTGAAGAATTACTAAGAGCATGTTGTAAATATTATAGATATCCAAACATCTAAAAATGCTAAGCAATAATATTTTTATAAACACAAATGTACTAAAATTACAAAAATATTGATGAAAAATTATTCTTTTGGTCAGGAAAGAGAATGACATTAGAGAAATGTACAAAAATGGCTTAAAGAGTAACATGTATATGTATGCGTGTGTTATTGACAGGTTATAGGCCCATGGGTATTTTAGAAGGTGCTAAACTTTTCTATGCTTGAAATATTGTGTAGTATAAAGAAAGTAACAGCCTGTAATCCCAGCAGCTCTGGAGGCTGAGGCAGGAGGACCATGAGTTAAAGGCCAGCCTCAGCAAAAGTGAGGCACTAAGCAACTGAGTGAGACCCTGTCTCTAAATAAAATACAAAATAGGGCTGGGGATGTGGCTCAGTGATCGAGTGCTCCTAAGTTCAATCTTCTATATCCCCTCCTAAAAAAGACAAAAACAAACTACAGTCAGCCCTTTAAGAATTCCACATTCTCGAGTTCAATCAGCTGAGGATATGGGGAAAAAATATTGTATCTGCACTGAATATGCAGAGATACTTTTTCCTGTCATTGTTCTTCAAAAAATATAATATATAAGCCATTAACATAGCATTCATATTACATTACTTATAATCAATCTAGAGACCATTTAGAGTATATTGAAGGTTTTGTGTAGCTTATATGCAAATCTATGCCATTTCATATAAAGAACTTGAGAATCCTCAGATTTTGGTATCCTTGGAGGTCCTGGAGCCAATCCCCTTTGAATACTGAGGGATGACTAGGTAGAATCTTGTGCAGTTCTTTTTCAGCAATATGTTCCTCCTACCCCTAACATCATCATCATCACCTGGGAAAATGAAAATTCTCAGTCCACATCTCTCAGATCTACTGAATCAGAATTTCTGAAAATGGGGTCCAGCACTGTGATTAAACAAGTCTTACAGGTGATTCTATCCATGTTGAAGTGTTAAGGTGGTTTTGGTGTTGGTGGCGGTGGTGATGGTACTGGTGATTAACTATGCTACTGAACTAAAATCCCTAGCCTTTTTTTATTTTTTATTTTGAGATGGGAGTCTTGCTGAAAATGGGGCCCAGCACTGTGATTGAACAAGTCTTTCAGGTGATTCTGATCCATGCTGAAGTTTTATGGTGTTTTTTGTTGTTGTTGTTGGTGGTGGTGGTGTGGTGGTGGTGATGGTGGTGGTGGTACTGGGGATTAATTCTACCACTGAACTAATATCCCTAGACTTTTTTGAGAAGGGGTTTTGCTAAGGCTGGCCTCGGACTTGCAATCCTCCTATCTCAGTCTCCCAAGTAGCTAGGATTATAGACATGCAAAACCACACCAGATTCCATTGCTAAAGTTTGAGCGCCACTGTCTTAGAATAATGTTTCTCGAAACTTTGGTCTGGGAACATGTAGATCTCACCATCTCCTAGGAGTACTTGTCAAAAATGTAGAATATAATATCACAGATCTGGGATGGGATCCAGAAATCCATACCTATGCATGCTAAAATTACAACCATTGTTTTTGAAACTAGGTTCAACTTTTGGTGACTGTTCTACAAGCAATTCACAATCTTTTTTCACAAAAGTAAGAAAGAAATACCTCATTCTGTTCCACTCTCCCTTGTTCATTGTATGTCAGTCCCACTCATAGGGACACTTTAATCTAGTTAATACACACAATTTATACATTTCATTGTTTCAGGAGCTCTCTTTTTGTCACTAGTGGTACATTTTGATCTAATACTAAACCCTCAAAGCATCCTTTTAAGCTTCACAGCTTTGTAAATGGTTGAAAACATTTTCCAACAATGAATTAAATGGAAATTTTAAAATGTAGTCATAGTATTATTCTGCTCTTTTAAGGATTGACAAAAAAATTAATAATAATCGTGGCGACTATGAGAGGAGAAGTGGAAGATAAATCCCCCTCTTTCTCCATAGTTTCCCTTTCTACAGTTCCATTTACCCACAGCCATCCCATGTCTGAAAATATTAAATGGAAAATTCTAGAAATAAACATTTTATAAATTTCAATGCTATTCTGAGTACAGTGATGAAATCTCATTCCATTCCACCTGAGGTTGTGTGAGTCATCCATCCCTTTGCCCAATATATCCACACTGTATACACTATGCACCTGTTAGTTATTTGGGAGTCATCTCAGTTATCAGATCAACTATTCTAGTGTTGCAATACTTGCATTCCAATAATCTACATTTTACTTAATAATGGTCCCAAAGTACAATAGTAGTAAGGCAAAGGAGGCATCAGGGCACAAAACACAAAAGAACAGACTAACTCTGGCACTATGGGGCCACGCTGCAGGGGAAATAGGGAAAAAGCATGGTGGTATACTGTATATAGGACTTGATATTATTTAGGTTATAGACATCCATCCGGGATCTTGGAACACATTTTCCATAGATGAGGGTTGACTATTGGACTTTCTATTTTATATACTTGAAGTGTCAGAAATATCACATTTTATTACTTTGATACTTGACACTGTATTTCCTTGATTCTAAAATGCCCTCTTATGTCTAACTATGCTGAAATTGGAGTATTTCTTAAAAATGAATGGTATGTCCCAGGTTAATTGGCAGTATTCTTTGCCTGCTTGTGATCATAAGTTAAAACAGTGAATCTTAAAGTTAATAGTGAAAAAAAACAACACAATAGTGGGTGCACAAATATACAATTTTGATGGCTCACACCTTTTTTTTTTTTTTTTTTTGGATATGTTTTCCTGAGTGCTTGAATCAGGGAAGATCTTAAATAGTATTAATTAACTGGGTAACTCCATAACTTATTGAGCAACTTCTGTGTACAACAAGGCACTGTGCTGTGAGGATGATGGAGGAATATAGGGGAGAAGATGGTCTCTGCTCCTATTTTCTCCGTTGGTTAAAGTGTCAGGGATCTAGTTGAGGAATGACACTATCTTCATGCAAAACTCCCTTTATAAAAAGCCTTAGGACCCTGACCAATGACTTTGAACTGCAGCCATCAGTGCCCTGGGGTGAGAGGCCCAGGGTTGCGGCTGAACTTTCCTAGAAACAGCCTCTTTGGGGTACCCACTTCCTGTTGCGGTCTAAAAGTCGCGCTCATCAGACTCTAAGCAAAATAAACTGAGTGCTCCTCCCTTCTGAGCCTCATAATCCAAGTCCCCTAAAGATCTCTTAGAGAGTTGCTGAGTGTCTCCTGCTCCAAGATGTGAATTATCCCAAGTCATAATAGCATTCAAGAAGGATTCTTTAAAAAAAAAAAAAAAAGTTTCCAGGGCGCTTCGCCCTGTGGACATCTCTCACCGTGGAGGTGCCAGAGCACCACCCGGTGCCCATGGGGCAGTGGGAGAGCACCTGTCCAGAGAGGAAGGCAGAAATTGCAGTCTTGCGGGAGGAAGGAAGGCGAAGCTGCGCTTGGGTATGAGTTGGTTAGATCGGACGGCCGCAGTAGGCAGCGTGTCTGTGAAAGAACAAGCATCGGACTATAAAATGTCTAATGCCGTGAAATAAAGAGAAAAGAAGTTTACATGTCACGAATTCTGTCCAAACATTTGGGGACACTCCTGTGACTACACTATAAACTTTTAAATCCATTATCCCTAAATTATAGAAACAGAAACAACTCCCGAGGTTTTAGCTAGATACCAAACTGCCCAAAGCGGCCACAGCGCTTGGCACAAGGTTCCATGCCCTGAGCGAGGAAGGAAAGTTTTGGCCGGGACCGCGGAGGCCGCGATCCTTGGGGGCATCCTAGACACCACGGTCCCAGTCGGCGTGGTCCGGAGGTTTCAGACAGGCCAAGGGAGCAGCCTACGAGCTGCACGGGTCGCCCCAGGACCCCGCCATTCTGAGCCATTGACAGCCTCTCAGGGCAACGGCGCCCAGAGGAGACCGTGACTTTTGGTCTCCCCAGCCTGGCAGTGGCACTGCCCGGGCCCGCGAAAAAGCGCGCAGGGCTGTGGTGCACAGTGCTGGAAGGGTTGACGGGGGTGGCGGAGGTTCCCTGCAGCTGGAGTGGGCGACAGCTAGTAGGCTCACGATGCGCGCCGGGGGGCGCCACTCTGGAATAGCTCAGTTCGCGCCGCGCGCCGGGTCCCGCCCCCATCTCCGTCAGCGCCCGCCCTGCGCTCTCCCAGCTGCAGCCAGACACACCGCCCGCCGAGGACGCCCAAGTCTCTCTCTTCTTTTTGCCTCAGGAAGTCTTCTGCCCTCCGGCACCAACCCGCAGCTCCACTCGTCCAGAAGAAAAGCGAGAGGGCCGAGCGGAGCTGAGCCAAACCGCCCGCAGCGAGGCAACTTCCAGGAGCAGCACCGCGCGGAGCCGCGCCAGCCTCGGGACAATGGGGCCGCGGCGGCTGCTGCTGGTCGCCGCTGGCCTCAGTCTGTGCGGCCCCCTGCTGTCCGCCCGCATCCGAGGCCGCAAGCCAGGTGAGATCAGCAGGGAGAGTGGATCGGGCAGGAAATGGAGGGACGCTGATGCGGGCTACCTTGGTAAGAATTGCCCCTGTTCCTTCAGGGGTTGTCCCTGGCAGCACCCCTGCCTCAGTTTCCTTCAGAAACCAAAGTGGCATTTAGGCTGAGATCCGGAGTCTCCCCTAGTGATATCTAGGTGGGACGTGCCACCCCAGCAAACCCCATTCTGGGCTCCGCCAATGCCCCTTTGGACTTGATTTTTGAGCAGTCTGCCGCGGGGTGTTGGATAGGAAAGAGGGGGCCGGTTCTCCTGGAGCATTGCATTTGCTGTCATTGTGAGGCCTGTTTCTCTCAAGACCACCCCCCAAAACAAAGGGTCTCGCGTCGCTCCACCAATAAACGTTTCAGTTTCTTTGTAAAGTGGAGAACCGCTCCCGCTGGAGTTTTGCTTTGTTGGAATTTTTTTTCTTGCACCTTGTTCTAGGGTTGGCCGGGTAGGGAGCGCGAGGTTGGGGGTGGGTGGGTAGGGGGAGTCTTGTAAAGAAAGCCCTAGGCACTTTTAGCAGACAATGGAGACCAGCAGTCCCCAGAAAGGCCTTGCCCCGGGGTATTCCGGAGGTTCCCTAGACTGGGGATAACATTCATTGTAGCCACTGGCTGGTGAGGGTGCTTGGAAGACTTTGTTACCGGTAATCCCTTCTTTCCGGGTTGAGGAAATCGACCCCTCCCAGAAACAAGCTCCCTCTGACACTATCAGAGGGATCAATTTTTCCTAACGGGAATTTATTTTCTACTGCAAGGAGGTTACTAGCTTAGAATATGTTCCCCACGAATATATTTTTAAAATTCTGTCTTCTTGAACAAATAAATACACTTGGTCCATTTATTTAGTTACATGTTTTCTATTCTCCCTCCCTTCAAACCAGGCAGTAGAGTTGTTTTCAGCCTACAAAGGAACTAATTAGAAAGTAAGAAAAATGTTTTTAATTTCTTAATAGCGATAGAACTTCAGCAACTTTGGACTTTTTTTTATGCAGAAGAAAATCTAGTGGATTTTCTTGTTATTGGGTGAAAGAAAGCGCACTCTGTATTCCTTCCACACATCAAGATTAAGAGGTGACAAAGACATAGCATGTTCTCTGCTCTCCCTCTTTGTTCAGGGTATTTGAGGGGATGCTTTGGGGACAACTTAAGAGCTCAAAGTTTAGCAGCAACTAGCCATTCTGCTTGTGGAAAATATGAACATTACCACCAATGTGGGTGAAGCATGGAGAACTCCTGAAAAATTGTGGTGATCTATGATTACACATAACATTGTGTGATTTGCTCAACTTTATTTTGGGACAAGCTCTTGACAGTATAAATTTTTGTTTGAGATTTGGGGCAAAGTACAGGGATACACAAGTGCCATATCCACAGTAACCACCCTTATTCACAGTAGTCCCCCAGTGAGATTTTTGGTCCCTTTTAGGACATGAAGTTAAAAGCTGCCAGTTTCTGACCCACATTTTTTTTTACATTTTCCTGGAAGGGATGGTAGCGTACTAAGAGACAGCACTGCTACAGATGGAAACTGACTAAACATTGGCTAATTTATCCACACTGGATTGTGGAACCATTTAGGGAGGGCGAAAAGAAAGCCAGATAGAAGGAAAAAAGGAGTATGTTTCATCAATATCAAACCCTGGGCCAAGAGGAATTTCCTCTTAGCTTGTTTCACTTCACCCTCACAAAAAAAAAAATAAGATAGGGGCTTATCCCCTTTTGCTTATTCCCAGAGACAGTGCCTTGCCAAATGGGAAAGAGAGGTATTGGAATGGTCTTCCCATGCTGAGTGTAGGCAGTAAGTGGGACTTTGTCTTTAGAGAGTTTAAAGTCACTAATAAAATCAAACAAAAATAGGTCTGCTTCTTATATTATCACTGTGAACTGGCAGTTCTAAAAGTGTCTGTCATAAAATAGTGGTACAGGGACCTCTCCCACCAGCCAGCAATTCCTCCCTGGCCCTTGATAAGCCACAGCTGGGTTGCCAGCTTATTGCTCATGATCATCAGCTGTATGTGTTGAGAAGGACTGTGAAACCCTTCCAGGACTGGCCTTGCCCACCAATCTGAGCTTTTCTGCAGTGGTTTGTTTTTTTTCTTTGCGTTCCCTTGTCACTTTGTGGGTATCTCATCTCATTGACCAACTAAAACTATAACTTCCACTTGTCCTCATGCAGTCTAGAATAAACATTCACTCAGCAGATACTTGTTGAGAAACTTGTAAGTTCATTAAACATTTTACATTCCATTGGCCAAGCAATCTAAGAGAGATAATGTGAGTTGATTAAAGAGGGCCAGTGTCCAAGAGTGAAAAGGTGCTGTTTATGAATTTTGTAAGTTTAAAGTGTTCAAGAACACTTAGTGGCAACCGTGGTAGGCATACTGAGTGGGTATTTTCATGTGCTGCTCTCCTACTCACGGGGTCAAGCCCAGGTCCTTTGCAGGTAGTAAGTATCTTTTCCCTGGCAAGATGGGTTCCCAGCCTCTGTTCAGCACCCCTATTATATATCCTCCACTTCACCAAGCTCTACCTTCTACTTCCTCCCCCAAGGAGCTATGCTTTCTCTGGCTTCTGTCCCCATTTCACTCTGTCTGGCCAGAACGCCCTCCTCATACCTCACATATTTGTCCTCAGTTAAAAACACGTGTCCTATATGAAGCATCTATCACAGCTGAAAGCTGCTTGGGTGTGTTACATAGACTACCTTACTTGTGGCACAATAACCTTTCAGGTAGATGTCATCCCCACTTTACAGGTAAGGCCACTGAGACCCAGAATAGTAAAGTCTAGTCATAAGTCTAGCAGAGACTTGTGGAATTGGGACTTGATCACAGGCCATTCTTTCATGAGTACAAGCTTTCCCTACTTCTCCCTACAGAGAGGGAACCATCTTATCTCCCAGCCCCTCTTACAATACAGAAGTAACCCCATTGTGCTCCCAGTACCTCTAGAGGGTAGAGTCTGTGCCCCAATGACTTGGGAAGCCAGATCAAGCCCAGAGAAGAGAGGCATTTAGTAAACAATCATGCATGAACTGTGATATTCTGCCATTCACTTTTGCTAACCAATGGTAAGAAAAGCTATAAATAGACCCCTACTCTTGAAAATGCTAATCAATTGGCTGTTACTCAGAGGTGGTGATCCTGAGCCTTAACAGAAAGACCCAAAATTGGGCAGTGATTCTGCCCTAAGCAGACCAGAAAGCTCTATAAAGCATGAAGTGCTAAGTGATGTAGCTCAGTGGTATAGCACTTAGCCTATATGAAGCCCTGGGTTCCATTTTTAGTACCACAGAAAGAAAAAAGAAATGGGGAAAAAAGCCCCTAACAGTAAGATTTCTTAGGAGCCAGCAAGGAATTTTCTACCCTAACATTTATTTACTTATTTATTTATTTACTTAGTGTGTGCACACACTTATGTGCGCTCTCTCTCCTCTTGTATTCCTTAGTGGCTTTGCGTTTATTTTTATAAGACATTGACATAGTATGTTGTCTCCTAATTTGCCCACTTTTACTTTGTATGGAGGAATTTTAGGGACCTGTTCTCAGCCCCCTTCCAAGGATTCTCTCATGATATCTCTGCTGGTTGCCTTTCCACTCCCTTCATCTTCAGCTTCGGCATATCTGAGCCTTCATGTCTCAACGGTCCAGTGTGCTGTGAACACTAACTTGCTCTTTCTCAGCAGCTCTGAACTTTTCCCTTTTCCAAACTGCTTACGGCCATTCTCCTTCCCTGGACCTTTTCTGCTCTTTCCCTCCCCCTCAATCATTTCACCTCTGTGCCTATCACCCTCACACACTGGAGCTCAACTGGGGCTTGAGCAGAAGGACCCCAAGACAATAGGGTAGCAGGACCCTACTAGAAACCCTGACCCTCTTTTCCTTAGGTACTCCTTTCCCCTCCCTCTCCACCCCTCCTTTTTCCTTCCTTCCTGACCTGTCTCTCACCTTCCTTTATTTTTTTTTTTTAATTAGGGTAAATTCCTATAACATAAAATTAACCACTTTAAAGTATACAGTACAGCAACATTTAATACATTTTCCATGTTATATAGCTACCACCTCTGCCTTGTCCTAAAATATTGTTATTGCACCAAAAAGAAACTCCATGCTCATTAAGCAGTCCCCCTTTTCCCTACTCTCTGGAAATGACCAATGTGCTTTTTGTCTCCATGGATTTACCCTTTATCGATATATCATATAAATGGAATCATAAAATATGGCATTTTTTGCCTGGGGAACTCCCCTTTCACTAGGTTTCATGAGTACCTGGGCTCCCCCTTCCATTGCAGATGCTACCAATGACACATAATTGCCAGGAAAGTCATTAGGAACCATGTCCTTTGTTTTATTTTTTAGTATGATGCCAGTATTAGGAACTCTGTAGTGTTAACATTCAAAATTTTCTGTTTCTCTCTTTTGTGGTTGCTTTAATTCTGCTTATTCCTCCCTTTTTCTTCTCCTTAGAGTTGTCAGTAAACAGTGTTTTCTATAGACTAAGATGTTTTTCTGGGTTTAAGCATTCCCTTCCCCAAACACTCTCCCTCACATTGACCCTGTCATGACAGAACTCGTTGAAGTCAAGGTCCTCATTTTCTATCCCAAGGCAATCAATGAAGTTTTGTCACTTAAAATGCCATTACAGGGCTGGGGTTGTGGCTCAGCGGTCCAGTGCTTGCCTAGTATAAGTGAGACCCTGGGTTCAATCCTCAGCACCACATGAAAATAAATAAATAAAATAAAGGTATTGTGTCCAACTATAACTAAAAGTTAAATATTTTTAAAAATTCCATTACAGGCCTTTATAATTATATTTGATTTCAGAAATAACTAACCATTTGAAATGATAGGAATAATCTGCAATTTGCACTTGAAAACCGATTAAATTTATATAACTTTAAGAAAGGATATTATATAACCTATTTATATATTTTGAGTCTGATAATTTGGAAGTCAGATATTTTAGTACTATAGAAGTGTTTATCTTGCTTTTTTTTTTTTTTTTTTTTTGCTATTTAACAAAGAACTATAAGA